TTTCTCCTGAGGGTAAATCAGGTGCTTCTTATTTTTAAATGATCTTTTTACAAGTGAACGCTCAGACTCTGGTGTTTGCATGTTATTATTTTATCCGAGTGATAAACCTTCCTTTGTAGGTTTTACAGCGTTGCTGTGTAAACTTGAATTAATCCTTGTGTAAATACGGGTCGTAGCCCACGGAGCTGTATTTGTAGCTTGTTAAAAACTAAATTATCTTACTTTTTTTTTTTTAAACTCTTCATACCTGCTTTTTGAAAATGAGCTTCCATGACGACACAGACAGAACCAAGTCCAGTCTGTACTGGTTACGGTGACATGGAGTCCTTGCCTTCAGCACCTGTTTAGAATGACTCACTCAAATTAAGTCTTACAGGACAAACTGGAGAGATGACCTTACGCAGAGCCACTGCAGTCTGGCTGAGCAGGAACAATGACAGGTCTGTGTTGGTCCATCCTACGGTTCTCTCCTAACGTGTGACCGCTGACTGTGGCTTGACTCACATCCTTCCCTGCTCTGATGCATGTTTACAGAGCGTTGGCTTTCACTATCACAGGGCCTGGGTACGAAACCCAACTGTCCAGGTGTCGCTACAACCAACACTCTGATGCAGTACCCCTCCGTCTCCCTCCCCTCACCCGCTGTGTGTCTGTGCGCAGCTTATTCCACTCTGCTCAGCATTCTTCACAGTCGTGTGAGGCAGGTGTCTGCAGATGACTCGATTACCACTTGACTCGACAACTGCACTGACATCATGACGGAAATGACGACAACGACAGACTACGAGAAGCACTTTCTCTAAATAGACATTTAATGATTTAAAACAGTGTGGTTACAGACGGGGAACAGAGGACATTTAGGTGTAGCGTGAATGCACACGTCACAGGATTTTAATGTTTCTCTGTGAAGCTTTAATGTGGAAGGAGGCAAAGTGATGATGAAAAAGCAAACTTTTGAAGCACTAATGGCATCTCTCTCTCTCTCTCTCTCTTCAATGGCTAGACATGGAGACATGATATAAAATGAGAATGGACTTGTAACAGATATCAAACTGATAAAAAAGAGAATGGACTTGTAACAGATATCAAACTATACCAATACTGAAACAAAGCTCTACAATATGTAACAAATATATACAGATAGTCAACAAATAGAAAAGATAGCAGATGCGGGCTGCGTGATAAAAAATATACGGTGTGGCTGAGGACTGAGTTTTGCCTCTGTGTGGCTGAGGACTGAGTTTTGCCTCTGTGTGGCTGAGGACTGAGTTTTGCCTCTGTGTGGCTGAGGACTGAGTTTTGCCTCTGTGTGGCTGAGGACTGAGTTTTGCCTCTGTGTGGCTGAGGACTGAGTTTTGCCTCTGTGTGGCTGTAACAGTAGAGAGGGCTGTAGGCTCTGCTCTCCAGCCAGTTGAACCATTGTGACACTACGAGTTTATACAACTTCCCACTGTTTTATACAAATGTAAACAATACTCCCACCTTCTTTGACCTTGCTTACAGTAAAAGCCACACAGCCACAGAACTTTTTTTTTGGTTGCCTATCCAAAGGCTCTGTTTAATAATCGCACCAATGAGAAAAGAAAAACAATAACATAAAAAATACTTGATGGTTCCAGTCCTCTGGCATCATCAGTGACACCTGCCATTGATATCACATTAGCAGTTTAACTCCACCCCCTGTCATTTCCACCTCCCAGATGAAGTGCTGCCTACTGGGTGCGGAGCTGGTAATCTGGGGAGGAAATGGACAGGATTTAATTAAGATGACAAGGAAATAAAATAATCAGACAGAAGTTAGGTGGAGGCAGCTGATGCTCTCCAACCAGATTTGAAGGGACACAGTGCAAAGGAAATGAGACGAGAGAGTTTCACAATTAGTGGAAACATTTGTTAAAAAAAAAAAAAGGGAAAAAAAGACCAATAAGTGCAACCTTGGTCTCATCAGGCCACGAATCAGGGAAGATCGATCAAGAAAAGCTGACTTTCTCACATTCTACAGGACGTTGCCACACGTTGCTTCATGTCCTACACTGTAGCCCCTCCACAAAGAAGTGCATTTGTACAAAGCCTGTTCTCACCACATTGCACTGTTTCCCAATCATTGCCTAACACATTGACATACGGGCAATCTGCACCATTCAGTGACCTCTTCACCTACCTCCGTTTTGGGTGATGTAGCGCACCCAGGGCAAGGCCTGGTAGCCACTCTTTTCAATGATCTTCAGGTATCGCACCTGGCATTACAAAACAGACAAAAAAAAGAATATGAAATTATTTTTTTATACAAACAAATCCTAATTAAATGAGCAATGATGAACCTTTTCTTTATTCTATCCAGCGATCCTACAATTAGGGTCTTTTAAGGAGTTCTTTCTTGTGCTTTTTTTAAAAATCTTATTCTTAAATGATTTAAACTGGAGTGAAATTTTTAGGTTTGCCCATACATGGTAACTATGAGCATCAACGGTCGTTTCTCTGTGCACAGTGGCTTTGTCAAAGGCTGGTGAATTACCAAGGCGTTACTCTACCTCTCACCTACTCAGGTGGCATGTGCTTCAACTGCCACAGCTTAAATGAGGACATTACTGATCATAACTGCAAAAAAAAAAGAAACTGCTGATACATCTATGGCTCTACTGCCTACTTTCTGGTTTACTGTACTTTTTATAAGCATATAAGCGTCATGTTGGAGTGCACCAGATAAAACTGAAAATTCTTCAGAGCCACCCTAGAAGCAAAAAAAAATATTGAATTCATCTTAATGTTAAATGTTAAATTGTGCCTTAAGGAAGTGGCAGAGAGCAGTAGTGAGAGTTGTAGTGTTTATGTGGAAGCAGTAGTGAAAAGGAGGAAGCAGCAGCCGCAGAGAAGCTTTCAAGGCACAGAGATAATTTGCATAACTGTATTTTTCAAGGCTTGCAAGGGGAAAAAAATTGCATATCAGCGAAAATCCACACACAACTTTCACAAGTCATTAACCAATATTTCTTCAGAGATGCGTTACCACAGAGGCCAATTTCGAGAAGAGGTGATAAAAATACCCTGTAGTACTGACCATCACTGAACAAGGTTGCATATGTTTTTTTTTCTTTACTCACACAGCAGGGCAGGAAACAGGTCGTGGGACTTTTAGCTATTTAATCATGATGAAATGATCTATAAATTCAAGATACTTCTCACTCGTTGAATGTCACAACAGTTTGCTTTTAGAGTCGTCGTGAGAATCTTCATGATACGCTGCCCTCTGTCTGTGCCATGTCTCCGTGCTGCTGTTTCCCAGCTCACAGCCGGGGCAGACAGGACAGGAATTTGTGGGACAAACAGCGGTGGGCCTTTGGTAAGGCCTCGGCACCGGCCGCCCTGTCATTACCTGCCACTACACAGTGACGCCAGTGGCCACCAGACACATGACAACAAACACATAGACAGGGATCACCAAGTCTGCAGGCACAGCACTTCTTCCTGAACCCAGGAGCCAGGCATGCAGTCGGCCTGACCGTGGGTACGTAGTCAGCAGAAAGCATCAAAAGCCGTCCTCCGCAAAATATCATTATGGCTTGTAAGAGGAGAAGAGGAAAGGAGAATGTTTGTTGTATCTCGTTTGGAAAGTATAGACTGCATGTGTGGTCTGTATTTATCAAGGTCTGGATACGAGCTTCTGCAAAAAAAAAAAAAGAATCTGCAAACCTTTGGGTTTGGGATCTTTTGACATCACCTTGAGAAGAGAGAGAATGGGAAAATGAGCTCTTGCTCCGCTCTTACAACAACTTGTCCTAAGTGGCAGCTGAGGCCATTTCTAGTTAGATTTATAGTGTGCAGTTACATGCACATGTGCACACTTCACCAGTGCAGTGCCCTGCACTTAGTGGTGGAGTTAAGAGAGACTTTCTCATGCTTTGATATTTACATGCATCTAATTAAACGTCAGCGTCTCTTCTCACACGTAGAGAGTGGCGTCATTGGTTTCATTAGACTCTGACACCGAGCCTGTTGTTAGACTGTGAGAGGTCTTAAGGCCAGAGGTTGATGAGAAGATGCCTCCTGGAGTACATCACAGTAGGCTGTGACGCTGATGCTGGGAGATCTTCCAAACAATGACCCTTCTCAGGGTCGCTGTGAGGGCTACAGCCAATTGTATTGCATTGTCATTAGGCAGGGGTGGAGTACACCGCTGTGGTGCCTAATTAATATTTTAATGTTATTACTTTTAAAAATATGTATCATCAGAGCTTTGCACTTGGCTCACACCTCCTCAGATGAAGTCTTGGACTTGATGCATTTTCTTTGTTATTAAATTTATGTTAAATTACGGAGGAACAAAAACTTGCAAGGAAGGAAGAAACTAAATTGGGTTATTTCTCCAGCAGGAAAATGATGTTGGAAAATGACAATTCTTGGGCCGCCCTTATTACAATATTTTAATTCAATTAGATCACTACCAGTGGGTTTGAGCCACAATTAGAGGAAATGCTGCACAATATGACCTTTGTGACCTATGAGTCAAAGGGAAACCACCCTGAAAAGTCAAGATATAAATATGAGTTAGATAAGAAGAATATAAGTGTCTGTGTTTATCACTGCCGTGTAGCTCAATATGAAGGATTACATTAAGTTGAAGGTATAATATTGACGTATCTCATACACTGTATGTTAGTTAGAATCCAGAAACGTAACCAAACAGTTGCCTCGAAGTACTAGAGTATTTTTGTTTCAAAAAATATGTAAACTTTCACACAAAAATGGTAAATGTAAAGACAGTGTCTTTTCCTTTTCCCAGAGTTATTTTCTGATGCTTCCACTGCAATAACACATTAAATGTTATTGCCATTTTGCACAGAATTTAAAAAAAACATTTGGTTGTTTGTGGGACATATTTTGGAGAAACACTAATTATCGACCTTGTTTCTTCCCATGCAAAGAGAAAGTATTTACTAGCATTTCCTCTGGTGTCAAACAAGGTCTTGGTTTTTGCAAAACTGTACAAAACAATAGATAACAATCTTTCCAGGGCAGAAATAAGAAGCATTAAAATTAAGTTTGTTGAGCAGACACCGGGGGAAAAAAAACAAATGTTTGCGTAGGGCTACGCATATAATCACAGAACAGCTGTGATTATACAGTATTGTGCTGCACATCTGTGGTCAGCCAGTTTTCATCCAAACATGAAGGGAAAAACATCAGCTTCTCTCCATGCTCCATGGGAATCACAGTCAAATTCCAGGGACTCTGCTTATCTGAAACCCAAACTGACATTTTCCATCACTGTCATTAACATAAAGGCACACGGCCAAGTTGGAGATGATAAACATTTGCTGTTTGATTGGTTTAACAGATATTAAAAAAGGAAAAACACACACAGAGACGAACCAAAGAAGAGCGCTGCTTTGCTGCCCCCTGTGGCCGAGTATGGAGACAGGCATGAATTGTTTAAATTCTTGCTCTGAAGAAAGACTGTGAGAACCAGTCAGATGCCATAAATTCTAAATCAGTAGTAGCAGTCACAAAGAACCACAAGATATCTCAGCTATGCATCCTGGTGCAGCGGACTACAAACAAACAGCAGGTGTAAAGAAGCCGTGTCTTCACTCTCACCTCCATTCATGTACTCAGGTTTTGAAGTTTTTTTTTGTCTCTGTCATGTTTTCAATTTGTAGAATTTTTTTTCTGGCTCTACAAGTGTGGTCAATCAATGAGTTATTTGCTGACTGACTGTGTTGACAAGTGCTCGTGTGCAGGGTGCTGTACCTGGATGCCTGAGGTAGTGAAGTACGGGATCTCAAACTTGACACTGATTGGTGGTTTGCCCTCCTTGTCTTCAGCCTCCACACTGGGCAGACCAAAGTGAGCTCGCATCAAGTACTCCTTCCCTCCCTGGGAGAGGACAAAGTCGGAATATTCAGTTCAAAGTCAAAGACAGCAGGACGGTGAAAGTATTTAAATTTTAAATAATTTAAGTTTCAGATTGAATGCCTTCTCTCCATGTCACTATTCCAGATTTGCAAGTTTCACCAATAATTTCTGAGATGAAGCACATTTAAATGAGTCAAACAAAACCTGTAGCTTTCCATGGTTCCAGTGAGTTTTTTTTTAATGAATGAACATCAAATGTTTGAGCTACTATAAGGAAAAACATAAACTATCACCCAGAAACCAAGGACCATGTAGTCATCGCAGCCAAGTGTATGATACTCATGAGTCATATTTTCTGCTCACAGGAAAGGACTTGATGGACCAGACAATCTCGCTGTTCTCAGGGACCCACTTGACGCTGCCCACTGTAGTCTTGAACTTGGGTGAGTCAGCATCCGTTGGCACAGGAATGTGAATTTCCACGTTGTTGGCTGTAGAACGTCTTTTAAACTGACTCTTTGCCTGAGAGAAGAAACGAGAGGTTAAACAGGCTCCCCCGCCCCCGCTGCATGGTTACAATGAATTAATGAAATTCATGTAGGAATAGTCATGCGTAATGTTAATACCATTAAGGTAAAGTGCACTGTGACAACGGACATTCCTGTCCATCTGTATCACAAACCTGTCAAACTGCCCACTCAATGGAACCATTTAGTTTGCTTCATCATTCTGAAACTTCTCAGGTAAACACCGGCTCATCCCATGCAATACTAACCTTAATCATGTACTCGATTCGACTGTGGGAGTGCTTCTCAATGACAGACTCAATCCAGATCAAGGGCTTCACCTGTGACAACAGCAGGAAACGTAAAGTACTTTAAAATAACTTTCAACAACTTCTTTGGCTTAATGGTGTAGATATTCTAGTAAATGACACTGTCGCCATCTAGTGGACAACAAGCGTTACATCTATAAAACTCGGCAGAACCAAACAGGGCAGAGCAGCCACATTACTTAGTGTGAAGTAGTAGTAGGAATAAACCTTTAAAAATAATAATAATAATTTTAAAAAAATAAATTTAAAAAGCTTGAAACTATTTTTTGTTCAACAGGAACTGTAAAACTGTGTGAAAGAGCTTGAATAACGTGTTATGCAAACACTGGCTGGACATTTAAATGGACCTGGTGCAGTGGCCTAAGTACATAAGATGCTTCCAGAAACCAGACTGTTTTCCCCCAGGACACAGAGTTAGAATTACCACTACTCACATGAGTGTTGAGGCGATAAGACATGAGCTCAAACTCGCCATCTGGAGGAATAAAGGAGATGGTGCGGTCGTTCTCAAAGCGAGAGAGGCGAACACACTGGTGAAACTTGACATCTTCCAGTTCTACTGATTTACTCTTCCCACCTTTACAAAAAAAAATAATAATTTCAGAGTCCACCCTGTGACAAAAGCCTTAAAGAGAAATGATTTCCCTATGACAAAAGCCTTAAAGAGAAATGATTTTGGTAATTAAACCTTTACTTTAAATGTAAGGAAAAAAACATTATTTACACTGACTTGATAATGCACATGTTGCCTGTTGTTCTTACATGGACAAAAGTTGTTTTTTAAAATATTTTTTGTTTCTGTAGGTTTATAGAAGCTAGCATGCTTTGAAATGTGTGTTACAAAATGTTGCTCTGCTCTACAAAAACGTTGGGTGGTTGTTTTGAAAAAAGGTCTGTGGCATTCAAGGACAGTTGGAGGAACTTGATGGTTGTCGCAATGACAATTACACAAAACTTTCGACTTTTAAATGATCCCGACATTTGGTGGCAAGCAGTTTTTGACCATCTTAATGAGCATGGCAACATAATCTGGATAATCTGGAAACTCACGTCCTGTGTTTTCAAACAGAACCTTGTCGTTAAGGCCAAGGCGCAACTCTGGCATTCCAGACAGGAAGACACGCATTTTAATGGAGCCAACAATCTCGCTGCGGAGAACATTACCGTTGGCACTAACCTGAAAAACAGAGATTATAATAACACAACGTGTTAATAATCAATGTTGATATCCGGAAGACAAAGGAAGACAACTGTAATCATGAGAAGTATTTACATACAGCGGACATATTTCAGACTTTAATTTTACACATCAATTTACTAATGTAAAAAAACACCATAAATAATGTTACAACAAAATCAAGCAGCCAGCAACTGGCTGTGTTGTAACACACAAGGAGGAAGTATTTAAATACTTCGACTAGAATTCTTAGGAAATTCCTCGCATCTAAAAGAGTTCCTACCAGGAGGTTGACTGACTCAATGACGTCCAGGAAAACCTCGTTCTTCCTGTACTTGATGCCCTCTGACCTCCAGGAGACGGCGTTGGTTACTGTAGCAGGGGGTCGCGGGGCGCCAGTGTCTAGCTTATGCCCCTCCTGGGTAATGTATCTGGGCAACAAAAATGTAAACACAGAGATCAACACGGAGAAAGAAAATAAACGAAATGTCTCTCGTTTATAGATAGTTAGTAATTGACTTTTAAAGAACACTATCTGACTTTCTGGTACATTGAAATATTGTGAGGCGAACAAGGGAACGTACTCTTGCAGAATCTTGCTGTCGGTGGTCTGAGGATAGCCAAAGTCCATCAGCTCATCCATCAGTTCATAAATGATGACAAAGTTATCCCTGATGCTCTCCTCCTCCAACTCTTTAAAGTACTCTGAAAAAACCTGAATGACATAAATATGATTTTAAAGATTGTATGCTAGGGAACATACACTTCCCATACATACACTGACCAGAGCTGCTAAAGCAGCTTATCGTACCTGAACAATTTTGTACAAGAAGGAAAAGACCAAGGACACACTTGCATTTTTCTTGGATGTTGCAACCACTGGTGTAGTTTGGTGTTAAGGATGTATGGAAAAAAGCTAAAGCATTACATAGAAATACTTGAATCTGGCTTGAGTAAGTACTCTGTTGTGACACCAAAGGATACGGTACAGATTGTTGTGTTTTATCCACATGAAGCGAACGCCACCATGAGACAAGATCGGAGAGAGTGTCCCTTCTTCCTCTTTGTCCATTAGAAGGGTCATGAAGTGTTCAATCTCCGACATGTCCACATCTCCTCTGTAATTTCTACACACCAAGACCTGAAAATAACAGAGTTTGGAGGTGTTGTCAAGTCTACAATTTTAATATATAGTCTATATTTAAAGACATGAGCAAAGAAAGGGCTTGGGCAACTATTTTTGAATGCCAAAAACGTTGCAAACAAACTACTTAAGTTTAATAATTCTTATTATTATAGCACAGTTTATGCAAGACAAGTGAAACAAAGTCATGACTTTTGTAGGACAATTGTACACAAACAATGTCATAAACATGCGACCATATGTTGACATTTTCACCAACAACACATTTACTCAACAAGCATGTTTTAAGCCCATCTTTTAAAACGCGACGTTTCACATGTATGTAAAATATTCCTGAGAGAAGAAGAATTTTAATCGCAGATTTGCTTCCAGCTGCTCCCTGCTGACATCACCTGCTTCTTAATCGGCGGCCTGGCGATGTTTTTACACTTTTGTTCAAATTTAAAGTGTACCGTATAATTTATTTTTTGAAACACTATATATATATATCCGTAAACTATTAGTGAAATGTTTTAGGTAAAACCACATCTGAATCTGCTAATAAAAAACAAATGTTCTCCGGGCTAACGTTAGCTTAGTAACTTAGCATCGTGTCCCGTTATCTTACCTTTCCTTTTAGGTCCAAGACATACACGGCGCTCGCAGACATCTTGAACAAAAATACGAGCTTGCCTCAGCTCGTCTTCAGTAATATACCGCTGGAACGACTATTTTTCTCAAATTCAATATTTTAATTCATAATACTAGCTAGAGGAAAGTCACTCTTCCCGTATTTTTAGTGACCCGCCCACTGATGATCGCCCCCTAGCAGGAGGAGGAACAATTGAAGCAGACCTTGGTTAGTCGGTAAATACTGTATAAAATTCTATATTTCTTTTCATATTAAGGGAGATAATCGCCCTTAACAAGTGCATTATTCAACGTTTCATAGATGTTTTATGTTGTAGAAGATTTTAAGGTTTTTTATCTGCTCACAATCCTTTACATTTGTGTTTTGTACAACATTAAAATCTGTTGCAGATACTTCAGTGACAGCTGACTATTTGCTAAAAATGTTTGCTTCATCTATCGGACTTAAATATTATAACTTATACCTTGAGCAACTGCTCAAGTAGTTATTTACTTTACGCTTCATCTATCGGACTAAAATATTATAACTTATACCTTGTAAAATAAGGTAGTCATATTAAATATTTGGTATTTAAGTGAACATCTAGGTTTTAATGATGATGTTCGCTTCATACTCTGCATTGACATTGTGCTGATGGCAACTGCTCAAGTAGTTATTTACTTTATAGACATGTTTGTACAAAGGCCTGAACTGGGCCGACATGTTTATTATGAATGAAGATTAGGTTTGTCCTGATGCACTATGACTTACCACAAAGATGCGAGAGGTACATGTTAGATTATTCAGACATGCAGTTGTTGCCAAAAGAAATAATAATTTTAACAATTACATTTACACCCACTACTACACATTAAGCTTTGGTGCATCAACAAATAGACAGACAGATGGATAGATATCTGCCATCACAGATGGAGCCACCATCAGTCTTCACACATACTTTTCATGACTTAGAGCACTTAATTTGGTGACAATTGCCCTAATTTGTAGTCTGCATGCTAGTATGCACATAGACTCTAATCTGCTCTGCTATTCCCATGGCTTTGTGATTTATACTTAGCAGGACTTTGACTCGGCTCCCAGGACAATCCTGTGGCTTTTGGGGGAGTTTTTACCATACAAGGAAAAGAGGGGTTAAGCTCAGTTTCCTGTGGGAGGGTTTTGATTTCTCTTCCTTTCCTCCTCTCCAATTCACTCGGTTCACTACCCCTGGCTTTGCCTCGAATCATCCCTCCTACACATTGCACCCTCCACTGTAATTTAAAATTCAACAAAGCGTCGTCATCACGTTCGTAAACTGTTAAACCTTAAACTGTGAGAATGTTATTTTGTATCATAACATATGTTTGCCCAGTATCCAGACAGACCAAACAAGGGATTCAGTTGTTGCTTTTATCACAGCGGGTCAGGATATAAAATCTAGTGCTAATGCCAGGAATTAAAGCTTTGGAATTTTAATAAAGGTGACCAGTTTTCAATGTGGTGGCTCAGCTTTCAAGCTGTGTTTTTTTTTTTTTCAAATTCCAGTGTTGAGTCTGGAAAAAATGTAGATTCTTTTCAACGTAGACTTCATTAGGGACTGTAGAAGTGCATCGCTTCACAAATACATCATGTGCATAAAGACATATTTCTTAATTCAAAGTACCACTTGCCTCATTTGCTGAAAACAAATCAAAATGAAGGGATGTCAAACCAATGGTAATTAAGAGGCTCTTAATTGCAGCAGCCTTATAGTTTATGTCTGTGCTGCAGACAGTGAAGCTCTGGTTGTCTGGTGTAGTTCACATGCAGTCAGGACTTTCCCTCAGTTTTTTTGGATCATTTTCCATGCAGCCTTTTTTTTTTCATTCCCTGGCAGAATGAAAACTATGTAGTTTAAAAGGACTCTGGTATTAACATCAATTTGAACATTCCTCCCTAAGAGCACGGTCACATATGCAGCACAAAGGGTAAAAAAGAACTCAGAGACTCTCAAATTACAAAGGATTTTGTGTTGGTTCTGGATTCTGCTTCTTATCTGTAATTCCTTTTCTGCTCTTTTCCTAAAGAGAAAGGCTTTGGTCCAAATAAGGTCAAGGACTGAAGGACGGCATCTACATCATGATGTTACCCTCGAAAGCTTCTGAGAGGTGAATTTCAAGGGGCACAGCAAGAGTAGCCACGGTGGGGAGTGGCAGAATAGGTTAAGGGTTGGAAAGGGCTGTGACTTGGGATTGGGGCTGTCTCGAAACCACTAGTCAGGTTTAAGTATCATAGAGCTTTTTCCACTCTCACTTTTCATCCTCCTCTGCAGCACTCACTCTCTGCAAACTTTCCTCTGTCTTCCTCCTCCTCTCTTCCTCTGCCCTGTGCTCGTCTCGTCTCCGTTGTTAGTGTGGCTGGGGTTTCTCTCTCTCCACGTCTGCAAACTTTTCTTCCTGGGGAGAATCTGGAAAACACTACAACCCAAACATCACCATGGAGGGCATCAAGAAGAAGATGCAGATGCTGAAGTTGGACAAGGAGAATGCCATTGACAGAGCGGAAGAGGCTGAAACTGGCAAGAAGGCAGCTGAGAAAATATGCACTCAGGTGAGAAGAGGAGGATGGCATTTACAGAGAACTGCAAATGATGATTTTGTAGCAATAAAAACTTCATACAAATATTATGGCATGTTTACTTTTATCTATGGAGACAACGTTTGTAATATTCAAATATTGTATAAGGATATTCATAAAAACAGGTGATCATTCATCAGTTTTCATTATGAAGTGACGTTACCAGTACTGTGCTTGTCAAAGTGTATCTAAGCATGTAGATCTTTGACCTAAAAACATGTTTGCTTGTTGTACGCCTCTGTTCCACCTGTGTTGCAGTTGGAGGAAGAGTTGTTGGCTCTGCACAAGAAACTGAAAGGAGCAGAGGATGAACTGGACAAGTACTCAGAGGCCCTGAAGGAAGCTCAGGAGAACCTGGAGCTATCTGAGAAGAGGACTGGAGAAGTGAGTTTACAAGAAAGACGCCATCTGAAACACATTATCCACCCTACACCACAACTCTAAGTATCAATATCATCCACACGATCGGACGGGTCGGCCTAACAAATGTTATTCAGATTGTTCTTCTTTCCACTGACTTCTCCAGAGCAGACTGGTCCCTACTGTAATTGTTACACTACAGATGAATTAGACATGGAGGCAATGGTAAAACTTTTATCAATCAAAATACAATACTTGCAATGCAAAAGTTTTGTATACTTGTATCCAGCCATGGCAGAGAGCTCTTCTTCCAGGCCCCATGTGTGACAGCCTCCATGCATAGAAAATAAACAGTACATGCGCCTACAAATTTTTCACAGCTAAGGGATTAGAAGTAAAGTTTTAGTTTCAAGGAAACTACCATTTATTGCAATAAAACAAAAGCAAGTTTTAATGGAACAAATTGTTTTATTATTTGAAAGTACACAGAAAAAATATTTATAATAAATATACTGTATGTGTAGAATTTACCACAGTTTTAAATATAGAAAATCCTATTTTTGTACACTAAATGCATTTTAGAACTGTATTGTAATTTTCCAAACTAGTACACAAGCACAGACGAAACTTGGCCAGCCTGGAGCTGAC